CCCCCTCCGATAGCAACCCCAGGTTTTATAAATATCCCTTGAAATGGATAATTGAAATTTTTTAAATCTTATGTAAAAAATGAATAAAAGTATCTTTGCACCATTTTGCTATTTTACTGCTCTCGAGGGCCAAAGGCTTGTGCACATTCAGCCCCAGCCCAACTCTGATCTCCCTCACGTCTCCCTAGATCCCTTCGGAGCTCTGACCTTGTGATGGGTGACATCTCTAGACACACTTAATTCTTTCAAGGTAATCTGTCTTTTCTCACTGGCTACTTTTAAGATTTTCTTTGGTGTTTTTCAGTTTCATTATGACGTATCTCAGTGTAAATTTCTTTTTATGTATCTGGCTTGGCATGCTGGTATTCTGGATTCTATAAGTTTGTGTATTTCATCAGTTCTGAAAATTCCCAGCCTTTATCTTTTCAAATATTACTTCAGTCCCCTTCTTTTCTTCTTCTGGAACCAGGTACATATATTATAGCTCTGGGGTTTTTTCTTTCTTTCATCTTTTCCATCTCTTTGTCCTTTTGTGGATCATTTCCTCAGGTCTGCTTTCTGTTCACTGATTTTCTTTTTCTTTTATTTTATTCTTTTTTTGTTGAGGAAGATTAGCCCTGAGCTAACTGCTGCCAATCTTCCTCTTTTTGCTGAGGAAGACTGGCCCTGAGCTCACAACCGTGCCCATCTTCCTCTACTTTTTTATATGTGGGACGCCCACCACAGCATGGCTTGTCAAGTGGTGCCATATCCGCACCCAGGATCTGAACCAGCGAACCCTGGGCTGCCAAAGCGGAACGTGCGCGCTTAACTGCTGCGCCACTGGGCTGGCCCCTGATTTTCTCTTTAGCTATGTCTAATCTGCTGTTAACTCTGTGTGTGAAGGTTTTAATATAGTTTTTCATTTGTAAAAGTTCTATTTGGTTACTATTCAATTCTGTTTGATATTTTTAGACTCTTGCTCTTTGTCTATTCAATCCCTACTTTATTAAAATAAGTTTTGAAACATATTATTGTAAATTCTGTGCCTGAGAACTCCTTATATTTGAGGTTGTTAGGACTGTGATTATGCCATTTTTTCCTATTGTCTGTCATTTACGGTTCCTTGTTTTCTATCTGTGTTTTGTGACTCAAGACTGTGAGCATATATTTCTCAGGATCATATTGAGGAAAGTCTTTTGAAGCCTGGGCTGAAGGAAGGTTCCTCAGGCAGGACTTGTGTTTGCTTCTGCCAGATGTCTGGAAGCCCCACTAGCCTGGGGCCAATATAAACTAAATTCTCAGTCGGCAGTTTTTTTAGAGCACCCAGGGACTGTGAATTCAGGCTGCAAATCCCCAGCTTGTGGTTACAAATTCCCAGCAGAGAGATTGTCCACCTCTTCCACTCACTGCCAAGGTTTTAAAAAGGCAATTTACCTTGCAGTTTCCACCAGGAGGTGTTCACCCTTGGAGTCCCAATTTTTATGTGTGTGTGTGTGAGTGTGAGTGTCTCCTGTTAGATATCCTACTTTGAATGGGAATGGGTTTTATCACCTGGCCACTGGGCTTACAGGACCATGAAAAACAAAGCTCAAGTTGCCTCATTTAGCAAATGACTTCCAGGTGAAAGCTGGCTTTCAGTGTTCCACCCACCACTTTAAGTTACCAGTTTTGCTTCATTTTTGGCTTCTGTGTATTCCTTACCAATTTTCTAGCTCATCAATGCATTGTAAAAGATTTTTAGGGGCCGACCCCGTGGCCGAGTGGTTAAGTTTGTGCGCTCCGCTTCTGCGACCCAGGGCTTTACCAGTTCGGATCCTGGGTGCGGACATGGCACCGCTCACCGAGCCATGCTGAGGCGGCATCCTGCATGCCACAATTGGAAGGACCCACAACTAAAAATACACAACTATGTACTGGGGGGCTTTGGGGAGAAAAAGGAAAAATAAAATCTTTAAAAAAATAATAAAAGATTTAAGGAAGTGAAGGATCTATACAATGAAAACTACAAGACTTTCTTGAAAGAAATAGGCGATGACATAAAGAGATGGAAAAACATTCCTTGCACATGGATTGGAAGAATAAACATAGTTAAAATGTCCATACTACCTAAAGCAATATACAGGTTCAATGCTATCCCAATCAGAATCCCAAGAACATTCTTCACAGAAATTGAACAAACAATCCTAAAATTCATATGGGGCAACAAAAGACCGCGAATTGCTAAAGCAATCCTGAGCAAGAAAAACAAAGCCGGCGGAATCACAATCCCCGATTTCAAAACATACTACAAAGCTACAGTGATCAAAACAGCATGGTACTGGTACAAAAACAGGTCCACAGATCAATGGAACAGAATTGAAAGCCCAGAGATAAAACCACACATCTATGGACAGCTAATCTTTGACAAAGGAGCAGAGGGCCTACAATGGAGAAAAGAAAGTCTCTTCAACAAATGGTGCTGGGAAAACTGGACAGCCACATGCAAAAGATTGAAAATTGACCATTCTTTTTCACCACACACCAAAATAAACTCAAAATGGATCAAAGACCTAAAGATTAGGCCTGAGACAATAAGTCTTTTGGAAGAGAATATAGGCAGTACACTCTTTGACATCAGTTTCAAAAGAATCTTTTCGGACACTGTAACTCCTCAGTTGAGGGAAACAATAGAAAGAATAAACAAATGGGACTTCATCAGACTAAAGAGCTTCTTCAAGGCAAGGGAAAACAGGATTGAAACAAAAAAACAGCTCACTAATTGGGAAAAAATATTTACAAGCCACTTATCCGACAAAGGGTTAATCTCCATAATATACAAAGAACTCACACTGCTTAACAACAAAAAAACAAACAACCCGATCAAAAAATGGGCAGAGGACATGAACAGACATTTCTCAAAAGAAGATATGAATATGGCCAATAGACACATGAAAAGATGTTCATCATCGCTAATCATCAGGGAAATGCAAATCAAAACTACACTAAGATATCACCTTACCCCCGTTAGATTGGCAAAAACATCCAAAACCAAGAACGACAAATGTTGGAGAGGTTGTGGAGAAAGAGGAACCCTCATACACTGTTGGTGGGAATGCAAACTGGTACAGCCACTATGGAAAACAGTATGGAGATTTCTCAAAAAGTTAAAAATAGAAATACCCTATGACCCAGCCATCCCATTACTGGGTATCTATCCTAAGAACCTGATATCAGATATCTCAAGAGTCCGTTGCACCCCTATGTTCATCGCAGCATTATTTACAATAGCCAAGACGTGGAACCAGCCTACATGCCCAGAAACTGATGATTGGATAAAGAAGATGTGGTATATATACACAATGGAATACTACTCAGCCATAAAAAAAGACGAAATTGGCCCATTCACAACAATGTGGATGGACCTCGAGGGCATTATGTTAAGCGAAATAAGTCAGTCAGAGAAAGACGAACTCTATATGACTCCACTCATAGGTGGAAATTAGCATATTGATAAGGAGATCTGATCGGTGGTTACCAGGGAAAAGGGGGGGTGGGGGGAGGGTACGGAGGGGGAAGTGGTGTACCCACAACATGACTAACAAAAATGTACAACTGAAATCTCACAAGGTTGTAATCTATCATAACATTAATAAAAAAAAATAATAATAATAAAATAAAAAAAAATAATAATAATAATAAAAGATTTAAAAAATATTTTATCTAGCGTTAAAGTTGTTTAGCAACACTGGCAGAAACAGAAGTGCATTTGTGAGTTCCTTAGAGGAAACCCATAGATATGTCCCAAATCTCCATTGACTTGGGAGATCTGGCTCTGCCTCAACCTCCTCCGACCTCCTCAGCTCCTTCTCATACCCAGTTAATTCCACAGCCTCATACTGTTGTGAGCTGCACTCTCCTCCCCACCAGGAGCTAAAGCCCAACTGTTTTCCACTGTGTCCACTTACTACATGAACAATGAAAATTCAGACTGCTGTCCTTACACTCAGCTGTTTTCTAATTCTCCTTTCCCTTGCTCAGGGAGGCATTAGGGCAGTTTATGAAGCTTCCCCTTCTCCTGGGTGCTCTCAGTGTTTGAGGGCTTGTCTTTGTCACATTCATGGTTGGGGGTGGGGGTGGGGGGGTAGACATTGCATTCCCCACCAGGTGGAGGGCTTGCTATTCTAGGGAATTCTTCCTTTTCTTTCCCATCCTAGTCTCCTTATAGGGCCTAGGAAAGAGGGGCAGCATTGAGGCAATGGTTGATAGTAGCAGGACAAATTCAACACCCAGCCTACCCCTTTGCAAGACGTGAAGGCATCTAGCCCCAAATGTTTTGTCTCTCTTTGGGATGCAGAACTTGATCCTCAGCTCTGAGAACTGGTTACCAATTCTGGGACAACAGGAAAAGCTTCTTATCCCATCATAGTAATAATAAGTGACCCCATTGCTGCTGCTAATCCAGTGGCTCCCATCACACTCAAAGTGAAATCCACACTCCTTATCACTGCCTCCAAAACCTTGCTCCATCAAACCACCCCAGCCCGCCTATCTTACCTCTACTCCGCTCACTCTGCTGTAGCTTCATTAGGCACCTGTTTCTAAAACACATCAAGCTTGTTTCCACCTCAGGGCTTTTACATCCTCAGTGCCTTCAGCCTGGAATTCTTTTCTCCCTCATGTTCCTGCAGCTGCCTCCTTTAGTCTCTCAACTACTAGGTCACTGCCTCAGAGAGGCCTCCTCATACTTATGAATTACACTTTCTGCTAATTCCAGAGCATTATATTCATGCGCAGTAATGGAAAGCATTAATTTTTAAACATCCATCCCCTTGGTAGAGCTATGTAACATAAGGAACATTTTGTCGCAATCGTTTTCTACCATGTGAATATGTGATACTCTAATCTTAAGAAATCAAGTCTAACCCTAGGAGATTGAGATTATTTGTGATATATAAGACACACAAATCTAATACAGTAGTTGTACCTGGCTTTCATTATCTTTGTGTTGAAATTTTCCATCATTTATAGCTTGTCCCAAGCACAAAATCCTGAGCAATGATATACCAAGAAATGAAATAACGTGGTCGTAGCACCGTCTACTTCTGCACACTGGAGGCCACGGATTTATCTGAAGCTTCTTTTTCTTCTCCTTTAGCATCATTAAATATCTCATCAAGTGTCTTTGTTGTAGTAGGTGTGGACTGGGGGAGTCAGGATCCCCACCTTTGGTAGTGACCCATGGGTGAAGATGGCACAGAAGAGGCAAGAGAAATAGCATCTTGTGATGAAGATGCAACGTTGCCCCACTCCCTTCACTGTTTTATTCCTGTAGCTAAAGTCAGTACCTAAAATTACTTTGTTATATGTTTTTATTGTTGACCTCGGGCCACAGGAGTGCACGCTCGCTCCTCGAAAGCAGAGTCTTTCCTGCCAGATCTAACGCTGTATCTCGCCCCTAGCAACATGCCCCTGGCACAGAGTAATAGTCAGTGACTATTACTGGAATAAGCGAATGCACGAATACTCAAGCCCCAGTCTCACACTCGCTCGGCCATCACGGCGCTCCCCAGCGTAGGGCCCTGAGGCAGGCGCGGCATCCTCCCAGGCTGCCTCGGCGGGACCCTCGCGCGGGGGCCTCTGGGAAGTGTAGTCCGCGCGCCAGCCGCGGCCCACGGGGTTGCGGGAGCGAGGCTCCGCGAGCGCAGGCGCACTTCCGGCTCTGTCCCGTCGCTGCGGCCATTGTCCGGTCCCGCTGCGGCTGGGGCCGCTTTGGGCCGCTCCTTCGCACATCAGAATTGGAGAGGACTGAACCTGCAGCGGGAGCGGGAGGAGCTGGCCCGAGCCCTGGGTGGGCCCGAGGTCGCGAAATCCAGAGCCCTCGGGAGGCGGTGATTCCGAGTGCGCGGGTCCGGACGGCACCTCCCACGGGTTTGGCGTGTGTCCGCGGGGCCGCGCCCACCATTCTGCGGGTGGGACTGGGCGTGGCCAGAGGAGAGTGTCCGGGGCACGGCGAGCATTAATTTGGGGGAGGGGGAGCGGCAGGCACAGGCGGGGCTCGCTCAGCTCCCCACCCCTCTCCACTGGGGAAGTGGCTAAGGGGCGGGACAGGGTGGGATCGGCGGTTGCAGCCCTGAGAGTGGGCCCTCTCTTCTCTCCCCAGCCCCAGTCTGGGAGCCGAGCCCTGGTGAGGCAGGAATGGCCCCGAGGCCTCCAACAGCCGCGTCCCAGGTGAGCAGCCCGTTCCTGACTAACCCGGGGCGACCCATCCAGTGAGGCCCCCGGGGCGTGTCTGGAGAAGTCATTGTTCTCCGCTTGAGAGACTCCTAGCCTTGCGAAATCCAAGGTGTCCAGAGCTGGAGGGAGCGGGCTTCCCAAAATGGGGGGCGCCTCACTGTGGGGAGGAGGGGCTAGGGCGAGGGCGATGTGGTCTTGTGGGAGGAGTTAGAGGTGGATGTATTGGAAAGTGTCAGTATTGAGAATCCTGAGTGCCAAGCTAATTCCTTGAACTCCGTCAAGGAATGGGTAGGGTGGGGTGACAGGAGAGAAAACTGTAGAGGAAGAAGTGACTGGCAGTAAGTGAGGGAGAGAGGAGCCCCAGCTTCTGACCCAGGGGCCATAGAGAGACCTTAAGGGGCCAAAGAAGCCTGGTCAGGACTTGGCTAGGAAGAGGCTGGAGATAAGCTTTCTTGGGCAAGGAGAAAAAAAAACAGGGGGTACTTGTCCTTTGCTTTTCATGTCTTTTTCTGCTTTAACAGTGCACATCCCCAGAAATCCAGCCCTCAGCTTAATTAATATGAAGATGATTTGTGAACTCATTTGTTCTTGTGAGGAAGGAGGCATTTTCTAGAACCATCACGACTCTGAGATTATCCATTGACTTACACAGAGTATATCGGTGAAAATATAACAGGATCCAGTTGGTACTTTAATCTATACTCTCTTTAGAATTAAGGAAAAATCATAGATTCTAGATAGGTGTGTGAGACTATCAAAATCAATTCAGATAAAAATACCCACTATAATGTCCTTTAAAAGCAGTTTACGGTAAGTTAAACACACGCAGTATATAATGCCTTTATGCTTTTTTGCTTCTTGTTGCACGTTTTTGTTTAACAGGGCTGAGCCTTAAGGAATAGGACAAGTAATAATAGAACCAGACAGTTAGTTGGTTTGAGGAGGCCCAGAGCAAATCACTGTTGTCAGCACGTCTCCATACAAAGTGTTTCCTCAGTAGGCTTGAGAATTAGGAAGATTTAACACACTTAGCACCTCATGGCGTTGATAATCCTTTCTGCAGGGGCTGTGGAAGTGGATTTGTGTTCTGAAAAGTGAATTTTAGGGACTGCTTTAAACTTCACTTTTAAAGCTGTGTTCCCCAAGCCCTCTGGGTCAGTTCTATTCTCAGGAATGACCTGACACTCCGCTTGGGTTACCTAACTCAGGCGGCAGAGGATGACCAGGGACAAAGGATGGAACAGAACACTAACCTTACAACAAGGGCTTTTTTTGTTTTTTTTTTAAAGATTTTATTTTTTCCTTTTTTCTCCCCAAAGTCCCCCGGTACATAGTTGTGTATTTTTAGCTGTGGGTCCTTCCAGTTGCGGCATGTGGGACGCTGCCTCAGCGTGGTGTGATGAGCAGTGCCATGTCCGCGCCCAGGATTCGAACCAACGAAACACTGGGCCGCCTGCAGCGGAGCGCGCAAACTTAACCACTCGGCCACGGGGCCAGCCCCACAACAAGGGCTTTTTAGGCAGAAATTTCCCTTTGTCAGTGGTTCCCCTTCTCTGAGCATGGCTCTCGGGGAGAGTGCAAAAGATGGGTAACTGAAACATGTGACTGCTTGTCCAGGAAGTTAATTTAGTGGAGGAAGACAGCCTCTTGCAAAAGTATAACGCAAGAGAGGTGGTGTCAGGTGGTGTTGCAGAGGTCCAGAGGCTGACTACAGAGCGGAGAGGAGATTCTGCCTGTGGGAGAGAGTCAGTGGACATGTCGCCTTTGAATAGGAGCAGAGTCTAAGCAGGTGAAAATGAAGGGAGTGGGGTTAGACCTGATAGACTGGGGGTCAGGGGAGTTGGGAGGCAAGAAGTTAGGACGCATATTCATGAAACTGTTGCTTTGTGACAGTGGATGTGGGCTGTGGGCAATGGTTGGATGGGAATAGAAGGGAGTTTTTTCTTTTTGGCCTTGGTAATCCCTTCGTTCATTCATTCATCTATTCATTTAGCAGATAGTCATTGAATGCCTGTGATCTGTTAAGACACTTTTTTAGGTGGTTGGGATACATTAGTGAATTTATAAAGGTCTCTGCTTTCATGGAGCTTACATCCCAGAAGGAGAAGACAGAAAAATTCAGTAAGTAAATTATATGATAATCTAGAAGGTGACAGTAGCTCAGAAAAAAAATAAAAGGTACAGAAAGGTAAGAAGGAATGTGGGGGCTTACAGTAGGGGTGTGATTTTAAGTAGGGTGGTCAGGGTAAGCCTTATCCTTGTTGAGATGGTGATGACTGAGCAGACTTGAAGGAGGTGAGGGGAGACAGGTCTGGGGAAGAGCACTCTGGATAGAGGGAACAGCGGGACGTGTGATCAGGGAGCAGCGAGGAGGTTATTGTAGCATGAATCAATGTTTTTGAGCAGGGAACTAGAACAATTCTTCTTAGTTTTAAAGATTGCTGCGAATTATGAAGTGTAGGAGCAAGAGTTTGAAAGTCAGAGCTCCTTTGGAGAGGTGTTTGATGAGTGGGACCTTCCCACTGAGCTTGGCTAACAAATACCTGAAGTGGCTCCAAGTGGGAGGGACTGGGAGCACAGATGGGTGGGGGGAATACCCTGAAAATCCTTAGGATCTGTGGGATTGTTAGTTGCTATATCTAGGTAAACACTATGTATCCTTGTTCGCCTTTTGTTCATTATACGTGTACTACATTTTTAGTTAGGAATAAAAAAAGGTATTTGTCACTCTTAAAGTTGAAGCCCCTAGAACAGTAAGAAATAGGGAAAGTTTTGTAAGAAAAAAGCTGTATATGGAGACCTGGTTTCTTGGTGTTTTACCTTGAAGGGGAGGAAATGCAGAGGGACCGGGGCCTGATCTCTATTGACTCCAGATTCCAAGAGCTTTGTAGTTAGACCATCAGGATGAACAAACTCGACAAAAGCTGGCTAATGTCACCCAAACTCAGACATGATGCTCCGGGGCTCCCAGGGGAAGACAAGCCTCTTCTTGAACCAAGTCATGATGTTTGAGGTCAAGGATGTTCCAGCTCCCTTTGTCCGGTCCCCTTTCTCAGCCTCTTCTTGAGCTGACTGGAGCTGGTCTTTAAGCCCCAGATCAAACACTCCTTCCCTGAGATAAGGTCACGTGCCCCTCCGGGGCGTTCCCATAGCACCTGTGCACTCCTGTCATAGTACTTCTCTTGTGGAGTGGCTTGTTGACCCGTCTGTCTCTGTCCTGGGCCACTTGACTCCTTTCATCCATTGCTCCAAGGTACACACATAGTAAGCGGGTATTGAATAAGCAAACATTCATAACTGCTTAACTCCAAGTAGCAATTTTATACTTTCTATACGTTTTCTGCTCCTCACATAGCAAAAATTATATTTTTCCAGTTATGCTGATTTTTTTTTTTTTTTTTTTGAGGATGATTAGCCCTAAGCTAACTGCTGCCAATCCTCCTCTTTTTTCTGAGGAAGACTGGCCCTGAGCTAACATCCGTGCCCGTCTTCCTCCACTTTCTATGTGGGACGCCTGCCACAGCATGGCTTGCCAAGCGGTGCCATGTCCACAACCGGGATCCAAACCAGTGAACCCTGGGCTGCCGAAGCAGAATGTGTGCACTTAACCGCTGCGCCGCCAGGCCGGCCCTGATTTTCTAATAAAACAATTGCATGAAACAATGTGACTTTCACTGAACAGTTTTAGGAAATTTTGTCTTTAAGACAATGTTAGAATGTCAAAACCTGTTCCTCTGAGACCTACTTTAAAAATATGATTCTTTTCCTAACTTTTCTATGTCTTGTTCTACTTTTATTTTATTAAAATATATCTTATTAAAGTATGTGAGCAAAATATAATGCAGACTTTTTAATAGAAAAAGTCACTTCTGCTGCCTCCTCTTCAGCACCTCTGTTTGTTTTGGTGAGTTTTCTTCTTTTCTCCCTGTGCATGTTTTTTCTCTTAAACATTTTCAGTTATAACATTTTCAATTTCATATAATTTTTATGGGGATTTTTCTTTTTTTACATCACTTTTAATGACTGTATTATATTGCTTTTCATGAACATACCAAAATTTATATAACCATTTCTCATAGGACATGTAGGTTGTTTTAAAAATTTTTACTGTAACAAATAATACCCAGATAAAATGCTGTTGGTTACAATAAATAATTTTTTGAAAATACAATTTAAGAAAATTCTTTACATCTGTCTTCTTAAGTGAAATAGCTCTCAGAGTGAGAAATAGAGATCCTTGACAGGTTTTAGTGTCATGCTTATCTTTTGTAGGAACATTCAGATTGCTTTTCATCTTTTTCTGTCTTTTGAAAGAATTTGCCTATAAAACATTTAGATCCAAGGTTTTTATAAAAAAAGATGATTTGGGAACAGTTTTCTCTATTTTCTCCTCAATTATTAAGGTTTCTACTTTGTCATGTCAACGTTGGTGATTTAGAACTTAAAAATTATTCACTTCATTAGTATTTTTTGCGTTTCTTAGCACTACTGGGTATTTTACTGGTTTGTTTATCACTTTATATTTAAATTGATGTTTTTTTGTTTTTTCACTAGATTTGTCAGAAGTTTTTTCTATTTGGTCAGTATTTAAGAGGAACCAGTTTTTGGATTTGGCTATTAATGCCATCATTTTTCTGTTTACCCCTCCTTTTTATAATCCAAGAATTTAATTCACTGATGTATAATTTTTTTAATCCTCGAAATAACTCCTTGTTTTCCTTCATTAAGAATTACCCAGACTCTGTAATTCATTCACTCAGCAGACATTTTTGGAGTGCCTGCTTTGTGCCAGGTGGCACCCACTGTGTGACCCTCTCTGAACAAGAGTCACGCTTCAGAACCAGTCAAGGAAAGGTACCTGCTTCCTGTGGGGCGGCAATAAGGCTTCAGTGAGGAAATTTATTGAGAGAATGCATATAAATGACCAAGGTCAGTGCCTGGCAGGCAGCGAGTGTTCCATGAATGTTAGCTGTTGCTTTTTTATAATGAATCAC